CCCGGGACTGTAGTTTATATTCCAGGGAGTCCAGCAGGGCTGCAGCGCTGCCTCATCAGAACTTTGGAATTAATTCACTTGGGAGGCTGGAGGCCTACTATGTGCAGAGTGCAGGTGGGGATGGGGGCGGCTTCTGCCACTTGGGCCTGGACCCATCAGACTTATAGGAAGCCCAGGATGACCTGTCAGAGGCAGAGGGATCTCCACGTGTGCTGGGGTTTCCAGAACAGAAGCAGGACAGAGTGTTTTCTGGCAGTTGAACACTTACTCAGCCTTCTCCTGGTGGAAACTCCATTCTTATTTGGGACTCTATTCTCAGCCAGTGTTCCAGGGTAGAGCTCCTGCTACGCCCATGTCTAGCTCAGGAGCAGAGCATATGACTAATAGCCCAGGGAACCAGGCATCCTCCCGGCCACACTGATTGGCTCAGGGACAGACATGAGGCTGATCCAGAGCCAATGAGATGGACTGAGACTCGCTCAGAATCCTGGGAAAGAGACTCGCTGGCTTGCAGCTGGACAGGAAGCTGGGAGGATGTAAGGAAGGTCGCATTGCTACCAGGAGGAGAGAGAGCTTCTGTGAATAGGGCTGAGCAGAAGAAAACAGAGCTGACAGTAGAGAGAAACCAAATCCTTGGGGGTGCATTTGAACTCCTGGATCCACCCATACCTGACACTACTACAGCTGGTTTTCAGTTAAACAGGTGAATATATTTCCTCTTTGATTAAGCCATTTGGAGTTCAATTTCTGTTCATAAACAACTTGCAAGAGCCTAGTCTGATTCAAAAAAATTACCCTATAGTTTAGGGCAACCCGGCAAGACTTTATGGAAGAGAAGATGGATAAGACTTGATAAATTCAGGGCAGGAAAGCACTAGTAAAAGATTGTGAGATGCAAAGAACTAAGAGTTGAACTTCCATTCAATCCAGCAATCTCATTACTGGGATATACTCAAAGGAAAGTAAATTGTTCTACCAAAAAGACACCTGTGCTCACAATAGCAAAGACATGGAACCAACCCAGATGCCCATCAGTGGTGGACTGCGTAAAGAAAATGTGACACATATACACCATGGAGTACTACACATATACACCATGGAGTACTACACAGCCTTCAAAGAGAATGAAGTCATGTCCTTTTGCAGAGTAACATGGATGAAGCTGGAGGCCATTATCCTAAGCAAAGTAACATGAACACAGAAAGGCACGTGTTCTCATTTATAAGTGGGAGATAACATTGGGCACTCATGGACATAAAGAGGGGAACAACAGACACTCGGGAATACAAGAGGGGGAAGGAAATGGGGCAGAAGGACAGATGTTCTATGTTGTCTAGGCTGAGGCAGGGAATTGCTTTAACCCAGGAGGCGGAGGTTGCAGTGAGCCGAGATCCCACCACTGCACTCCAGCCTGGGCAACAGAGCGAAACTCCATCTCAAAAAAATAAAAAAAGTTTATATCACATCTTTACGTGCCAGGAAACAGGGCAAAGAGAGAGGATGGGGGGCAAGGGCTGAAAAACCACCTGCTGGGTATTGTGCTCACCACTTGGAAAATGGGTTCAATTGTACTCCAAACCCCAGCAGCATGCACTTCCCCTTTCTGACAAAGCTGCCCATGTGCCCCAGAAAAGTTGAAGAAGGAAAAAAAAAAACCAAAAAAAAAAAAAAACGGAAGGCCAGGTGCGGTGGCTCACACCTGTAATCTCAGCACTTTTGGAGGCCGAGGCGGGTGGATCGCCTGAGGTCAGGAGTTCGAGACCAGCCTGGCCAACATGGTGAAAACCTGTCTCTACTAAAGATACAAAAATTAGCCAGGTGTGGTGGTGCTCGCCTGTAATCCCAGCTACTCAGGAGGCTGAGGCACAAGAACTGCTTGAACCCAGGAGGCAGAGGTTGCAGTGAGCCAAGATCACGCCATTGTACTCCAGCCTGGGCGACAGAGCAAGACTCCATTTCAAACAAACAAACAAATAAAAAACAACAACAACAAAAAACTGAGATGATTGTAATAACTAGCAAGCTTGAGGCTGAAATGGCTCATACTGGGGATGACAAAATAGAGAGGTGTGATGTGTGTGTGTGTGTGTGTGTGTGTGTGTGTGTGTGTGCATTAATGCACATCACTCAGTAGTTTATATCACATCTTCACATGCCAGACTGGGAGCTCCAGGAGGACGGTGACTGGGTCTGTTTTCATGCACCCTGGAATAGCCAGCACCTGGCATGGTGCCTGGCACATGGCAGGCTCTCAATGAATATTTGTTGAGGTAGTGAATGAATAATGGAATCAAGTTTGACTAGTCCACTCCTCTCGTATGACTCTTGCGAATAGCGGACGTACTACGTGTTTGACTCCCAGCACAGTGCCTGGCACACAATAGGTGCTCAATAAACGCACATGATTAAGTATGCAAGGGTATGCTCGTTTTCCAGATTTGGGAGTGGAGGCTCTTAGGAATAAGTAGCCCGTCCAAGGTCACATAACATGAGTCAAGGCTGGGGTTCTGAACGTGATCTCACCAACCCCAGATGTGAAGCTCACTGTACAGTCCCTGGAGGGTGCAGGAAGAACAACGTGATGGGCTGCAAGGGCCGCAGCACTGCGGTCAGGCCTGCCTGATTCACGCAGGCTTTCAGAAGAGTCTGAGTTAGGTGCCAATATTTATGAATCAGGAGATTTCATAGGTAAAACATACAAATTTGCGGCTTCTGTTGAAGAATCAGGAAAGCTGGCCATCTGGGCCCACAGTTCTACCTGGGCCCGACCGGCCCCTTTTGGACAGAAACCTTCTCCACAGTCCCCACCACTCCCTGTCATTCACTCCCTCCTGGCACGCTACTCTCTTTCAGTGATCACCTGTTCTCTAGTGACTTTAACCTGGGAAGTCACAGCAAGCTGGGCCCAGGGCTAATGGCAGTGGGGATGGAAAAGAGAAAGAGGGATGGATTTGGCAGATGGTCTGGGGAACGACGTATGAGCTGTGGGGGGATGTCAGAGCTGACTTTGATGATTTAGATGGGGCAGGAAGCTTTGTTCATTTCCTTATTTCTTTTAAAATGGGAATAAATGAAACATCACTGTCAGCCTCTCCTCCTTCTCCTCATCCTCATCATCATCTAAGCCAGGGGTCAGCAAGCTACAACCAAGCAGGTCCGCTGCCTGTTTTGGTAAACAAAGCTTCCTTGCAGCACGGCCATGTTTATTTGCTTGTATACTATCTGTGGCTGCTTTCATACAACGGCAGACTTCAGCAGCGTTAACATGGACTGTATGCCTTGTTAAGCCTAAAATACTTAGTATCTGGCCCTTTACAGAAACATTTGTTGCTCTGATGTAAGCTACGACATACTGAGTATTTATTACATGCAAGGGGGCTCTTCTAATGTCCTACACGTGTTAACTCATGTGACCCTCAAAAACTTTTGTGGTAAAACCATAATCAAATACCACTACCCACCCAGCAAAGCAGCCCTGTTAAAAAAGACAACACCAAGTGTTGATAAGGGAGGCAGAGCACCTCCCATTTCTGGCTGGGAGTGTAAACTGGCACAACATTTTTTTTTTTGAGATGGGAGTCTTGCTCTGTCTCCCAGGCTGGAGTGCAGCAGCACGATCTCGGCTCACCGTAACCTCTGCCTCCTTTGGTTTGCGTGATTCTCCTGCCTCAGCCTCCCGAGTAACCGGGATTACAGGTGTGCGCCACCACACCCAGCTAACTTTTGTATTTTTAGTGAAGATGGGGTTTCACTTCTTCTTTGGCCAGGCTGGTCTCAAACTCCTGACCTAGACGTCATCCCCAGGGTGGGGGTTATGACTGGAGAGGGGTCCCAGGGAGCCTTCTGGAAATGCTCTATGTCTTGATCTGAGCTGTGGTGAAACAGATGCACACGTATGTGGAAATTCATCAAGCCATCCACTTAAGATCTGTGTATGTTACCTCATGTCAATCTTAAATTATAAACAGAAAAAACTATGACTGAGGATCAAGCATTTCTGCAAATGCTCAGACAGCACCCACCAACTCTAAACACGCACACGCCCCGTGCTCAGCAATGCCGCTGTGAGGAACATATATAACAGAAATGAGCCCGCAGGCTTACCCGGAGCCAGGTTCTAGACTCTGCTCAGCAGCACCATTTGTAATAACCCCAAACTGGATGTACATAAATGCCCAATAAAAGTAGAAGAAATAAACAAATTGTGGTGTAAGCGCATGATGGAGCGCTGTGTGGCGAAAATGAAGTCAACGTAATCCTGGGCACGAGAAGCCAGATGCAGGGTGAATCTATAACGCTGGGAGTCTGAATCATTGTCATCCTCGTGGGAAGGGTGTCGAGTGGGGGGAATTCCATGAGGGGACTGCTGGGGGTGGTGGTGACATTCTCTTCTTGGCCTAGCTGGGTGCTCATTACACGTCTGTTGCTTTTACGACAAGCCTTTGAATGGTACACTCTGTATATATATTTTCTGTAAGGATATTCTGCCTCAGCAAAATGTTAAAAAACCAAATTCTTGGAAACAGAGACTACTCTTTGAGAAATGCACACATTTTTCTTTTCTTTTCTTATTTAAAGAGAGTCTTGCCCTGTCACCCAGGCTGAAGAGCAGTGGCAAGATCTTGGCTCACTGCAGCCTCAGACTCCCAGGCTAAAGCAATCCTCCTAGCTCAGCCTTTCCAGTAGCTGGGACCATAGGCATGTGCCACCACATATGGCTAAGTTTTGTATTTTTTTTGTAGAGACAGGCTCTCGCCATGTTGCCCAGGCTGGTCTTGAACTCCTGGGCTCAAGTGATTCGCGTACCTCAGCCTCCCAAGGTGCTGGGATTACAGGCATGACCCACTGTGCCTGGCTGAGAGGTGAAAAAGGGAGAAGAAGGAGATGTATGTAAAATGCTTAAGGTGACACATTTAAGTGTCGAAGTCACAATCCGAACACAGGCAGTCTGGCTCCTGGGCCGCGCAGCCTCGCCCAGGCCCAGAGACGTCGTGGCTTACCTTGGAGTAGTCGGAGCCGTGCTTCTCTTTCACCCCGTTCCGGCAGAGCGTGTAGTTATAAAAGCGGGAGTTTTTAAGGAGTCCGACCCACTCCTTCCAGCCGGGCGGCACATAGGAGCCGTTGTATTCATTAAGATACTTCCCGAAGAAAGCTGCGGAGGGAATGGGATCAGGAGGCCACGTGAGAATGTGCTTGACGATGTTTATTAAACCATTGTGTGCCCGAGGCCTCAACACGCACACCTGCTCTGCCATGGAGCCCGCTGGAAGAGCCAATGGATACATGCATTGAATACAGGATACAGGATTACAGAGAAAGTCAGTTGTTTGGAAATATGGTTATCAAAATATTAAAAGCATTTGCGATACAGTGTGTCTTCTATTTTCACCTTTATTTGAGGCAGAGCCTTGCTCTGTTGCCCAGGCTGGAGTGCTATGGCACGGTCTCGGCTCACTGCAACCTCTGCCTTCTGGGTTCAAGCAATTCTCCTGTCTCAGCCTCCCGAGTATGGGATTACAGGCATCCACCACCACAGCCCAGCTAATTTTTGGTATTTTTAGTAGAGATGGAGTTTCACCATGTTGACCAGGCTGGTCTGGAACTCCTGACCTCAAGTGATCCGGCTGCCTTGGCCTCCCAAAGTGCTGGGATTATAGGCGTGAGTCACCGCACCTGGCCTAGTGTGTCTTTTAACACCTTGCAGAGAGCGATCATCTCAAAATAGTTAAGCGTGAAAATATTTGATTTTGCCATATCTGCAACAACTGCAATGGGACATTACAATACTGGTGATTTCTACAGATGACAAAACTACAGATTCTGCCAACAAATTGTGGTTTACGGCCTATGTTCATACTGGAAGCAAATGCTAAATTTCAGCTGTAGGTTAGTGAAAACCAGACTGCAATTTTTTTCCCACTGAAGTTCATGGATCCCTTGGATTCTGTCTACTACACAGCAAACTGGAATGGCTAACATTAAAAAAATGGGCAACACTTAGTGTTAAACCACTATGTGCCCGAGGTCCGCACACGCACACCTGCTCTGCCATGGAGCCCTGTGGGACGCAGAGCAATGGATCCCATCTCCAGCCCTCTTACATGCATTGAATACAAGATACAAGATTACAGAGAAAATCAATTGTTTGGAAATATGGTTATCAAAATATTAAAGCCATTTGCAATATAGTGTGTCTTTTTAAAATTTTTATTGGAGACGGGGTCTCGCTTGAGTCTGGTGGGAATGTGGGACAACTCGAGCCGACTGGTCCATCCACGGGGGAACCTCTTTGGCTGTGTCTGCTACATCTGATCTCATTAATAACTTCTATCCAGCAATTTAAATCTTGGTTATTTACCCAACAGAAAAGTACTCACACATTCACGTAAAGTCAGGTGTAAGAAGTGCTCATGGTGGCACATTTATAATACTAAATAAGTAGAAACAAATGAAACGTTTATCAACAAAAGGATGGGTAAAGAAATTGTTGCATATTTTTAGAATGGAAGACTACACTGAAACTTGAATGAAAGACCCAGTGCTACATTCAAGAACATTGATCCATCTCAACAACCTAAGAACCTTAAGAGAAATCAACCAGATACAAAAGAATACATGCTGTGTGATCTCATATACGTGAAATCCAAGAACAGGCCAAACTAATCTATGGTGTTAGAATAAAAACAGTGGGTGTCCTGGAGACAGGGGGAGGGTTGGTGAGAGCTTGGGGGTTTCTCGGGTGATGGTCTTGTTCTGTTTCTTGCTGGAGCAGGTGGTTCAGTTGGTGACACCTCACTGACCTGATCATCTGGGAGCCGTGCACTTTTCCACATGCACACTTTACATCAATGACAAAGCTTAAAGAAAATCATCCTAATTCATCAGGAAGGCAATGTGCCTAAAAATTATCTGTGATGAGGAGACAGGCAAGATCTCTTTCTCTTCTGTTTTTATTTCGCATGTATATATATATTTTTTGAGACAAGTCTCACTCTGCCACTCAGGCTGGAGTACAGTGGCACGATCACGGCTCACTGCAGCCTCAACCTCCCAGGCTCAAGTGCTCACCCCATCTCAGCCTCCCAAGTAGCTGGGACTACAGGCGCATGCCACCATGACTAGCTTATTTTTGTAGAGAAGGAGTTTCACCATGTTGCACAGGCTGACCTCAAGCAATCGGCCTGCCTCAGTCTCCCAAAGTGCTGAGATTACAGGCATAAGCCATGGCATCTGGCTTGCATGTGCAATTTTTAATAATCTATAGGCTGGGCACAGTGGCTCACGCCTGCAGTCCCAGCACTTTGGGAGGCCGAGGTGGGTGATCACAAGGTCAAGAGACTGAGACGATCCTGACCAACATGGTGAAACCTTGTCTCTATTAAAAACACAAAAATTAACTGGGCATGGTGGCACGTGCCTATAGTCCCAGCTACTCAGGAGGCTGAGGAAGAAGAATTGCTTGAACCCGGGAGGCAGAGGTTGCAGTGAGCCGAGATCGCGCCACTGCACTGCCCTCCAGCCTGGGCGACAGAGACTCTGTTTAAAAAAAAAAAATCATAATCTATAAAGCTGTATTTAAGAAATGGGAAAATCTGAGTCTAGAGACAGCAATTGTATTCTAGTCCTCTCTTTCTAGATGAGGATACTGTGGCACCGAGATTCCTGATGAGTATTGTTGACAACGCAGAATACAGGCATTCAAGGTGGTTGTAGGGATGTAAGGAGATGTTGCTAACAGACAGCTGGGTGCTCGGCCGAGAACCCAGGAGGGGAAGAGAAAGGCAGGGGAGGTGAACGCCCAGAGGAAGGAGGAGAGTGGGTGGGATGGGGGTCTGGTACCCCCAGAGGAGAAGATAACCCCTCCATCTGTGTCCTCAGAGAAAGGGGAGAGCCACCTGGCCTGGGTGAGCTTCGATAGGGCTGGTTCCCTCTGCAGGGGTTTTCCTGGTGACCTGGCAGGTGGCTGACACATTCCAGGAGTGGGAAGACCCCTTAGGAACCCAAGCAGCTGGATTCTGGAACCCCCAAAGTACACGGCAAGGGGAAGCACCTCATTAAATGACTTGCCCACCATGCAGGGTTGGAGGTGGCCGCTCCAGAGGCAGAAGGCTCTGGGTACACAGGGGAGGTGAGAATAGGAAGGGAGGATCCCCCAGCAGCCTCGGAGGTAAGGTCTGGGTGGAACCTCCCTTTGTGTGGGAGGATGGAACAAAAATAGATGGAAAGAACCTGGCGTTCTACAGAGGAGGAGGCGGGGAACCGGCTGCACCGACTCTGAGTCTGAGTCACATCCAGTTTTCAGAGCGAAATGTAATTAGGTGGTGGGTGCCTAATTAAACAGCAACTGGGCGTCCCTGGCTGGGTGTCAGGGAGTAACTGAGTGGGAGGCAGCATGGGAGTCCTGGGCAAGCTCAAGGCCTGCACGTCTCTTTCTTGGCACCTGGCATGTTGGAGGGGCCTTGATGCATCCAGCTTGTCAAAGCAGTGGCTCTTGGCTGGAAGCGGGTTCATCTCTGTCCCCAGGAGACACATGGCAACGTCTGGAGACATTTTTGGTTTCATCAGAACTTGGTGTGCTGTTGGTATCGGGGGAGTGGAGGCCAGGGATGGTGCTCAGTATTCTCTGTTGCAGATGACAGCCCCACACGACCAAGACTGACCCAGGACAAAATGTCAGCAGTGCCTAATCCGGGAAATTCCCCTCCCCTCTTTCTTTTTGAGAGAGGGTCTTGCTCTGTCGCTCAGGCTGGAGTGCAATGGCGTGATCTCGCCTCACTGCAACCTTCGCCTCCTGGGTCCAAGCGACTCTCCTGTCTCAGCCTCCCGAGTAGCTGGGATCACAGGTGTGCACCACGATGCCAGGCTAATTTTTGTATTTTTAGCAGAGATAGGGTTTCCCCATGTTGGCCAGGCTGGTCTCAAACTCCGGACCTCAAGTGATCCACCTGCCTCAGCCTCCCAAAGTTCTGGGATTACAGGCGTGAGCCACCATGCTCTGCTGAGAAACCCTATCTTATTTAAATAAACCTGCCCATAGTCCCACGCTCCAGCAGCTCACCCTCAGGTCTTTAGAGCCATTTTGTGAGAAGACCCCTGGAGACCAAGTGCAGCTCAGGAAATAAGATTTCCTAAACGCAGTGACCTCGTCCCCCACCTCTGACACTGCCCTCCATGCTGGGGGCTCTGCTTCGGCAACACTCCTGGCCTCTCTCCATGCTGTCCTGTACCTCCTCTGAGGGGACAAACAATATACAGGTATTGATAGACTTACGACCTATGCAACTTACGACCATTCGACTTTATGACCACAATCGCTAGCCACGACTGCTCCGCATCTGGCAGCGCAAATGTTGCCCAGCTGGGCGTACGACAGTGCGGACCAGCTTCCGGCAGCACTACCATCTCCGCGTGCATATAGCCTACTCAACTTACGACCAAATCGTGTTACGACCGGTCTGTCGGAACCAATCGTGGTTGTAAGTCGAACACTAGCTGTACAGCAGAGGTCACCTTTCACACGTTTCCTGTGAAAGCCCAGATAGTAAATATTTTAGGATTTGTGTGTCAGAGGGTCTCTGTGGTAACTACGAAACCCTGCTATTGTTAAAAAGAAAAAAAAAAGTCACAGACAAGACATAAACAGGTGGGTGGGGCTCTGTTCTGATAAAACTTTATTTATAAAAACAAATGGAAGGCCAGGTGAGGTCCATGGGCAGTGACTTGCTGACCTCTGGCATGTGTCTAGTGGATTTGGAGGGCCAAACTGGGCATGCCCAGCCCAATCCTTCCCTTGCTTTTCCTCTGGGGAGTCAGCTGCCCCCAGGGAGTGCTAGTTTTCAGGAGGCTTGTCCTGTCTGCATGGGGAGGAGAGGTGTGGACCTGTGTCAGTGGTGAGTCTGCCACACTCTGGAGTTTGGTCAGGAAGCCCAAACACCCTCAGAAGGAAGCCATGCCCTCAAACCCAGCCTGCACCAGATTCATCAGAGTACAGTGCTGACTGTCATCTGCTGACTCTTGGGTTTGATTTCTTAATTGGCTCAGGACCTCAACAAGGAAGAGGGTAAATTTTAATAAACCCCTTCATAAATTGGTATTCCTATTTTTCTAAGAAAAGATGAGTTTTGTTGTTACTATTTTTTTTTTTTTTGAGAT